CAGAAAAGCAAAATGCAAGACAAGCAGGCAGTGAATTAACGCACGACAGCGGTCAAAACATTCAAACGCGCTTTCGTGGCATCAGGAGGAACGCGGGCAAGGGAGTTGGGGCCCTGGGCCCAGAGAGAACATCAGGCAGGTCCAGGCCAGCGGTGGGAAACGGGCTGCAGAATGTGGGGGGGGGGGGAAACCAGGCTCTTCCAGTTCTGCCCCAGTTGAAAGAGAATTATTTCTGATTTAGCAGTTTAAAGAAGACGATTGCCCAGATAGCAAATGCAGAAGCAAATGTGCCATTCATGGCCAGGGTTGGAAAATGGAGATGAGCAGAGCAATCTTGTAGGGCAGTGTTTCCCAAACTTGACAATTTTAAGGCATGAGGACTTCAACTCCCAGAATTCCACAGCCAGCAACGCTGGCTGTGGAATTCTGGGAGTTGAAGTCCACATGCCTTAAAATTGTCAAGTTTGGGAAACACTGTTGTAGGGTGTGAAAGATCTGCTCCTCCTAAGAGGAAAGGGGAGGAGAGTGGTGAAGGAAAGAGGAGAGGAAGAAGAGGGAAGTGGGGAAGAGAAGGGAGAAAGAAGGGAGAGAAAGAAGGAATGTGGATACGGTGAAAGGGGAAACGGGCGAGCAACACCAAAAGTCATGTGCATGTATTTATTTCATTTTGTTAAAAGTATCTTGTATGTGAGTGTGGAGGGAATGTATGTTAACATCTGATACGTATTACGGTATATGTACGGGGGGAGAGTTTGGAAAAATAAAAAATTATTAATAATTAAAAAAAAATCTGCTCCTCCTCTTGCTAATCTGGACTCCAGCACCCCTAATCCCCAGCCCACTGCCCTATTGGCCAAAGAGCTGAGGACACCAGATTGAAAAACGCTTCCATTCCTCCTGCTGCTGTTGCTGTACACATTTGGGGCACTGCCGCCCCATTTCAAGAACATCTCATCGGCACAGACCCCATTCTGTAAAAGTCACCCCGCCTTCCTCTGCTCGGAAGAGGTCTTGGCAAGCCCCAGCAGCCCACCCTGCAAGGTAGGCCCAGTCTATTGCAAACTTATCTTACAGTCTTGAAGAGCAGGCAAAAAACCCTGTCTCATCCTGTCCCAGGAGGTAAGCCGCAATTTGGAAAAGGAGAAAAAAGCACTTTTTTTTACACACCGGACAAAACCTTGGTTAGGTTTTCATGACACGCTAATCCAGGCTAAAGTAGTCCTCAACTTAAAACAATTCCTTTAGTAACTTTGAAAATGGCACTGAAAAAAAGTGAGCCAGGACCATTTTTCACACTTACGACCATTGCAGCCTCTCCATGGTCACGTGATCAAAATTCAGACGTTTGGCAATTGACTCGTATTTACGACGGTCGCCGTATCCCGAGGTCAAGTGTTCCCCTTTTGCGACCTTCTGACAAGCAAAACCAATGGGAAAGCCAGATTCACTTAACAACCGGGCTGCTAACTTAACGGCAGTGATTCGCTTAACAACTGTGGTGACAAAGGTCACAAAATGGTGCAAGACTCATGTAATAATTGTCTCGCTTAGCAACAGAAATGTTGGGGTCCATTGTGATTGTAAGTCAAGGACTACCTGTAGCAAATTCCAGGTGTTTTTGGAATCCAGATGGAACAGGATGGGTGAATTTGGTTGTGTGAATTCAGTTTCAAAAGCTTCCATCACGTTGTGTGAATTTGATTGATTTCAGTAATTTTCTCTCTTACGAAACACTCATCCTGGACTTGCAGCTGCCTGGGGTGGCTGAACCCCTCTTCTCTCCCAAACAGGGTCACACAGAACCCATGGATTCCTCAAGTGCTCCATGACCCACTCTGAGAACCAAAGCAAGCTCATCCATTCAGAAGACCGTCACCACGAATCTTCCTCCCGCAGGAGGAAGCCTCCTCACACAACACACTGAGCCCTGTTTCCGATCCCCTTTTGATCCCCAAGCCTCCACCCTAGCAGACTCTAATACAGTGGTTCTCAACCTTTTTAATGCCGTGACCCCCAACCGGTCGTAAGTTGAGGATTACTCAACCGGTCGTAAGTCGAGGACTACTCAACTGGTGCAGCACCGTTTGCAGACTGGGACTTTTGGCGGGCTCAGCAGGGCCGAGACAGCCTGGACCATTCCTATTGGCTTTGGAAAGCCAATAGAATTAGACTCTATTCAAGAGAGTCTATTCTATGGGCTTTCAAAAGCCAATAGAATAAAAGGGAGTAGCACAGCTAAGGAAAAGGGGGGAAAAATGGCGGACTGCGTTGTTTGGTGACCCCCGTGAAATGGTCGTTCAACCCCAAATGGGGTCCCGACCCACAGGTTGAGAACCACTGCTCTAATACATAGGGAAAGCGCATCAAGTGGCAGGGAGTTCCACAGCTTAATTTTGCACCAGATATACTGTAGTATTCTGATACTGACCTCACTGACCATGAGCCTTGACTAGGCTATCCCAGCCCTGCAGATAAAAGATTCTTATTTAGCACCTCAGTTAAAGCAGGGTTTTGTTTTTTTTTCCTGGTTTGGGAGGTTGTGAGAACACAGGCCTCGGATTAAGTGTGCCGCACAAACCCTGCTCTTAAGGCCGACTGCAATTCCCGCCTCTGGAAAAATCTCTCCCCCCTCCCAGATCTGTGTCTCCCCCCCTCCCAAAACCACCTTTGTGATTATCAAAGACCTAGTGGTTCTCCCAGGTCTTCTGAATGGCAGGATTGCAAAGCCGCTTTTTACTATTTCTTAATTTACTTCGGTTTGTTGCAACTCTTCTTTGGAAGAGGTGTTTGGTTTGTTTTTTTTTTTTTTTTTAGCTTTTACCTTGCATCTCCTGCTTCTTTAGCTGCCAGCCCTGGCCTCTAAGTCACATAAATAAAAATAGATAAATGGAAATGAAAACACAGCCAGGGTGTCCCGTGAACTCGGGGAGGGGGGGGGGTTCAACAGGTTATGCAACCCCAGCTTTCCACACACACCCCCACGGGTTTCGTTTCTCTCTCTCTCATTCCTTTTGGCGGTGGCGATTTCGCTCTGCAAATCCCCCCCACACACACACACACGTTGGGCTAAACCCGGGTTTCGGGAGTCGTGTGAATCCGCGCTGCCCGCATTCTGGCTCGCCTTGCTTAGGGATTCCCTCGGCTTCAGCTCCCTCCTCCCTCGATCAGAGCCCCCCCCCCCACCCCTCCAGGCTTCTTTCGGATGGGCTCGGCCTTTCCCCTCCCAGCCCCGCTGGCCTTCGTCAGTCTTTCCAGCCAGCGCATTCCAGAGGGCTGGCGGGGGCCCAAGGGCGGGGAGGGGGGGGCGAGGTGGGGAGGGGGAGCGCTTCCCCGCCCAGAGGGGGCCAGCGCCTGCCCCGCCCGTCCACAGCCACGCCAGTTGCAAAAGCAAAGGAAAGGCGGGGGGGGGGGTGTGAAAAAAAAAAAACTTGGGTAGAAAACAAAAGCGAAGCGGAGTGACTCCGGGCGCTGGCTTAATCCGATTGGGTGGGTGGGTGGTGGGGAGGGAGGGAGGGGAGGGGAGGGCAGCGGGTCGGGTGGGGCTCCAGACCCTCCGCCCCCCCGAAACATCCCTCCGCGCTCTCTCTTGCTGTCCATTCGCCCTTCCAAAGCCAAGTCGGAGCAGAGTCACTCCGGCAAAAAGAGAGGGAGGGGAGGGGGGGGAAGGCTTTGCAAAGGAAAAGGGGGGGGTCCCCAGCCCCTTCAAGCCCCCCTCTCCCAAATTGGCCTCCTTTGCCTCGGGCTCTTCGGCACAGCTGCCAACCTGCAGCCGTCCTCGTTCCGCAACTCCAGGGCGAAGGCTAAACCGGAGCCGCGCCCTGTCCCGAAACTGCAGGCGCGGAAAAAAGAGCGCCAGTCCCGGGAGAGGAGAGGGGAAGGGGGGGTCCCCGCCAAAAACAAGCTTCGGGGAACCCCCACGGGTCTCCTCTCTCTCTTCGCCCACCTCCCCGTCTCCTCGGGAATCCCAAGGCGCGCGCGAGAAAACCCTCCTCCCGAACCGGAGTCACTCCGGATTAAGCCAACGCCTTGCTCGCCCGGCCAGCCACATCAGCTCCGGGCCTACGCGTGCCTGCCAGCCCCGAGTCGTTCGGGGAGCCCAACTTTCAGCGGACGGGTCCCCCCCCCTCCATCCCCTTGCATGGGAGGGGGGGAGGCTTGGCGGGCCATTCCGCCTGCTTTCTAAACCCAGGTCGGGGGTGGGTGGGTGGAAAAAGTCCCTTTCCAGCTCCAAATTCAACACCCAGGGCTGGCGGGGGGGGGGACGGGCAGCATCTATGGAAAAGGAGGGACGCGAGAGCACCCCCTCCCCTTCTGGCCAGTCCGAAATCTGTGCGAAAACGGGACCCCCCCCCGCAAGTCTTTTGCCCGAAGCCGCTTCCAGCGCCCCTCCCGCCCCAGGGCCAAACTTTCCCCCCCCAGCTCCAGGCGGGGAACGCGGCGGGGAGGCTCGGCGAACCGTCCGGACCCTTCGGGGGCGGCCAGGCGGGAGAAGTGGGGGGGGGGCTCCCCTTCCCTGCGTAAGGCGCGACTTATTGGGGGGGGGTCTCGACTCCGTTCGGGGGTTCAAGTGGGCGCCCGCCTGGTATCTGCAGCCTCGTGCGACTTTGGGGGGGGGGTCAGCTGGCCCCAGGACCCCCACGCCCCCCCCACAGCCGCGTGCGACTTTGGGGGGGTCAGCTGGCCCCAGGACCCCCCCACGCCCCCCCACAGCCGCGTGCGACTTGGGGGGGGTCAGCTGGCCCCAGGACCCCCCACGCCCCCTCCACAGCCGCGTGCGACTTTGGGGGGGGTCAGCTGGCCCCAGGACCCCCCCACGCCCCCCCGCACAGCCGCGTGCGACTTTGGGGGGGGTCAGCTGGCCCCAGGACCCCCCCACGCCCCCTCCACAGCCGCGTGCGACTTTGGGGGGGGTCAGCTGGCCCCAGGACCCCCCCCACGCCCCCCCCACTGCCCCGATGAGAGTGGGCTCCGGCCCCCCGCGACGCGCCCGCCGCCCTCACCTGTCGGTCGGTGGCTTTCAGCCTCCCGGCACGGCCATCGCAGGCGCCGTCCCGGCGTAACGCCCCAGACCCCGACCCGGTTCCCTGGATTCCTGGAGGCGGCGACCGAGCCCTGCCAGGCCAGCGGGCTCCCGACGAAGCGAGCGCTGCCGCGGGAGAGAAGCGAGTGGGGCGCTCCCCGCCCAGCTGCGCCTCTTGTAACTCGGCCCGGGATGGGTGTGACTCTGCGCTCGGCTCTCGTCGTCGGGGAAAGGGAGGGGAGGGGAGGGAAAGAGGCGGCGAAAGGGAAGGAAGGAAGGAAGGAGAAAGAAGAGAAGGGAAGGGAAAAGAAAGAGAAGGAAGGAAGGAAGGAAGGAAGGAAGGAAGGAAGGAAGGAAGGAAGGAAGGAAGGAAGGAAAAGCAAAGGGAAAGAAAAAAGAAAGGGAAGAGAAAGAAAAGGAAGGAAGAAAGGAAGGAAGGGAGGAAAGGAAAGAAGGAAGGGAAGGAAAGAAAAAGGAAAGAAAAGAAAAAGCAAAGGGAAAGAAAAAAGAAAGGGAAGAGAAAGAAAAAGAAAAGAAGGGAGGAAAGGAAAGAAAGAAAGGAAAGGAAAGAAAGAGAAAAGAAAGGAAAGATAAAGGAAAGAAAGAAAAAAGAAAGGGAAGAGAAAGAAAAGGAAGGAAGAAAGAAAGGAAAGAAAGAGAAAAGAAAGGAAAGAAAAGAAAAAGGAAAGAAAAAGAAAGGGAAGAGAAAGAAAAGGAAGAGAAGAAAGGAAAGAAAGAAAAGGAAAGAAAAAGAAAGGGAAGAGAAAGAAAAGGAAGAGAAGAAAGGAAAGAAAGAAAAGGAAAGAAAAAAAGAAAGGGAAGAGAAAGAAAAGGAAGGAAGAAAAAAAGGAAAGGAAGAGAAGAAAGGAAAGAAAGAAAAGGAAAGAAAAAGAAAGGGAAGAGAAAGAAAAGGAAGGAAGAAAGGAAAGAAATAAAAGAAAGGGAAGAGAAAGAAAAGGAAGGAAGAAAGGAAAGAAAGAGAAAAGAAAGGAAAGGAAAGAAAGAGAAAAGAAAGGAAAGAAAAAGGAAAGAAAGAAAAAAGAAAGGGAAGAGAAAGAAAAGGAAGGAAGGAAGAAAGGAAAGAAAGAGAAAGGAAAGGAAAGGAAAGAAAAAAGAAGGGAAGAGAAAGAAAAGGAAGGAAGAAAGGAAAGAAAGAAAAAGAAAGGGAAGAGAAAGAAAAGGAAGGAAGGAAGGAAGGAAGGAAAAGAAAAGAAAGAAAGAAAGAAAGAAAGAAAGAAAGAAAGAAAGAAAGAAAGAAAGAAAGGGAAGAGAAAGGGAAGGAAGGAAGGAAGGGGAAAGGAAAGAAAGAGAAAGGGGGGAAAGGGAAGGGAAAGGAAGGGAAAGGAAAGAGAGAGAAAGGAAAGGAAAAGAAAGAGAAGAAAAACTGGTTCTGAAAGAACTTCCAGCCTTAACTGGCAACCAGAGAAAAGAGGCTTTAAAAAAAAAAAAAGAAAAAAAACTCAGTAGCCTTTCCTTGCCCTATGATTTTCAAAGATAGACTGCCTCTGATGCTGGGGGCTCCATTCAGCCCCCACCACCCATATCTACCCAGGCTTCCTGTTCCTCAAGCCTTGTCCTCAACTTTCCCATTCCTGTCCTGGAGTTGCTTCCTACCCCTCCTTCCCCCCCCCCCAGAAAACCCACTGCAAAACCTGGGACAGATGCAGCCCCCACCAGAGCTGCAGGTAAGTTCCGCAGAGTGAGGCGTCCCTAGCCAGAAGGAGCAGAGATTTCCCTGAGAGCCCCCTGGCCCAATTTCCACTTTGCATTCATGAAAGGGGAACCCCCACCCCATCCGTGCCCTCCCCCCAAGGTCAACATTTCAAAAACTCCAGCTTGCACTTCCCGCTGGATTTCTGGGCTCTCTTCACACAGCAGACCGAACCGGGTCCTTCAACTAACGAGCAGCTGCATTTCCCAAAATATCCAATTTGTCTAAAATTGACTTTGGGCTGCTCGTGTGTGTGTGTGGGGGGGGGAATTAGCCTGTGTGCAAACACAGATGATTTGATTAATTTATGGTTCAAGGGGTGGTGCACACTCAGAACGTGAATTAACTTAAAATAAGCATATTAGCTGTTTTGCATTAGCACTCATGGAATAGCTTGTTTGCTTATTTATTCATTTGATTTTTATTCTGCCTTGATTACTTGATAAGTCACTTAATGAAGGTGGACAGGCCTAATGCAGGTAGTCCTCGGCTTACAACCACAACTGAGCCCAGAATTTCTGTTGCTAGGACAAACCCTGGGACATGGCAACGTCATAAGTATGAATCAGTTTCCGAGCACCTGAATTTTGATCATGTGACCGTGGGGATGCTGCAATGGTCATTAAGTGTGAAAAATGGTCATAAGCCACTTTGTTCAGTCCCTTTGTAACTTTGAATGGTGACGAAGTGAACTGTTGTAAGTCAAGGACTTGCTGTACTCCTTCTTCCTCCTATTTTCTCCACAACAACAACCTTGTGAGGTTGGTTGAGCTGAGAGAGAGAGAGACTGGCCCAAAGCAACCCAACTGGCTTTCATGTCTAAGGCGGGATTAGAACCCAAGATCTCCTGGTGATTGGCCCAAAGTCACCCAGCTGGCTTTCATGTCTAAGGCGGGATTAGAACTCACGATCTCCTGGTGATTGGCCCAAAGTCACCCAGCTGGCTTTCATGTCTAAGGCGGGATTAGAACTCACGATCTCCTGGTGATTGGCCCAAAATCACCCAGCTGGCTTTCATGTCTAAGGCGGGATTAGAACTCACGATCTCCTGGTGATTGGCCCAAAGTCACCCAGCTGGCTTTCACACCTAAGGCAGGACTAGAATTCACCGTCTCCTGGTTTCTAGCCCAGCACCTTAACCACTACACCAAACTGGCTCTCTGGCTCTCAGGGCTAGCTGGGGAATTCTGGGAGTTGAAGTCCATAAGTGGTATAATTGCCAAGATTGGAGACAACTCACAGGCAAGCAGGCTTGTATTCCACTTGGGAAATTAAAACCCAGGCTTTGAAGAAAGACACAAGGCAGCTGTGCTGTGCAAATCGCTTCTCTTCCTCCTGTCACTCAGCCTCGCCACACGGAGATCTGAAATCTTGTGGCAAGGAGTTCCATAAATTATCGAACAAACGTGGGGGGGGATAATTTGTCCAATTATCTCGCTGTGGTTGGTACATTTGCATGAGATCTTGTGATTTCCCACAGCAAATTAAAGTGTTCACTGCCAAAGATTTTATCCAAGAGAGAAGCTCTGGGATTTGCAAGAACTTTTTTTTTTTTTTTAAAGAGCCCTCAGCCAGAAGGTTCCCCAGCCCAACCTACCTCACAGGGTTGTCGTAGTGGGGAAAATTGAACGCCATGTCTTAACTTCGGATTGGACGTCGATCTTTGGCACGTTTGTGGAAGCAACCTGACAACTTTCTGCTACAGGTAGTCCTCAATTTACAACGGTTCATTTAGTACCTGTTCAAAGTTAACCACAGCACTGAAAAAAGTGACACAACCATTTTTCCTACTTATGACCATCGCAGCATCCCTAGGGTCACATGATCAGACTTCAGATGCTTGGCCACTGGCATGTCCTTATGACGGTTGCAGTGTCCTGGGGTCACACAATGCCCTTTTGGGAACTTTTGACAAGCAAAGTCAATGGGAAACCCAGATTCACTTAACAACCGTGTGACTAACTTAACAACTGCAGTGATTTACTTAACAACTGGGGCAAGAAAGGTCGTAAAATGGGCCAAAACTCACTTAACGACTGTCTCGCTTAGCAGTGGAAATTTGGAGCTCAATTGTCTGTCCTCTCTTCTTTAGAAATCCCGAGATTTCCTGGTGGTCTTCCATCCAAGGCCTAAATGGCCCGAACCTGCTTTCCTTTTGGAGCTTAGTCAAGTTGAGCTCAACCACCCCAATGCAGCGTGAGATGCCACGTCTGCAACGGCCGAGTGTGACATGGGCTAACCAGCCTGTGGAATTCATTGCCACTACATACAAACCACAAGTCCTTTGGCATTGAAAAAATAAAACAGAGCCATGTCAGTTTTTTTTTTAAAAAAAAAGATTAAAAAGTATCAGGTCTCTCTGCAAACAAAAAAAGGAAAGCTATTATAGAAGCCAGCAGGAGGTTGTGTGGCCTGGAAGTTTGTGAGATGAGTTGTCGATAAGAAAAGGTGTTTTCCCCAAAGGGTCAAGGAGAAAGTTTAACTGTAGGAAGCGGGGCTGTGAGAAGGAGATGTTGAGACCACAAAGCTTCCTGTGGGTTGTTGAAAAATGACGGAGCTTCACACCTCCCTGGAGACAAAAACAGGTCCCATTCTCAATTCCAAAGAGTGGTGTGCATTTGCCAGTTGTAAATACTCATCACACGCAACTGATTGTTAGCTCTTAAATATTCTCACAATGCCCTGGCTTTCAATTGCCCCCCTCCCATCACTTCCCTCTACGACAGGGGTGTCAAACTCAATTTCATTGAGGGCCGTATCCCCATTGTGGTTGCCCTGGGGGGGGGGCTGGGTGGGTGTGGCCAGGGTGGGTGCGGCCTACTGGGTGGGCGTGGATGGAGTGGGTGTGGCCTACTGGGTGGGTAGGGGGCCTGGGCAGGAGTGGGACAGATCTGAGGGTCTCTGGCAGAAGGGGTGGGACCAGGGCAAGTGCCAAGGCATGGTCCACTGGAGGAACCTCACTGTTCCTCTCAAGCCATGCGGGGGGGGGGGGGCTGGATGGTGGTGTGGGCTTCCCAGAGCCCTGGGCAGCAGAGGTCAAATGCCCAGCCTGGCCCTTGAGCACCAGTAGCCCCACTTCCTCAAGGCTGCTGCTCAAGGTTCTCCTGGTCCCTCGCTGTTTCCAAACGGCCTTGTGGAGCTAAGACTGAATGTGTTTCAGCATAGAGGGCCACCACAAAATTGTACGTTGGCTCCCGGCCGGCCTGGGCCAGGGCCAAGGCAGCGGGGGCCGTACCCTCACTGTTTCCAGGATGGCTTCGCGGGCCACATGAAACCACTTCGTGGGCCGCATCCGGCCCCCGGGTCTTGTGTTTGACATGTCTGCCCTAGGAGAAAAGTTGTTTTGGGGAGGTCCCCCCTCCTTTTCTCTCTTTTGATACTTCCCCAAGTTTTTATGGAACATAGAATCCTAGAGCTGGAAGGGAATGGGGAGGTCTTCTAGTA